ATAGCCTGCTAGCACCAAGATAGCTGAGTTTCACACAAACAAAACCACACTTCATAATCGAAAAAATGTTTAAGTCATTTCATCTTAAATTACTTCTCTCTCTCTGCCCAAACCTAACCTCGTATGTGAACCGTGCTGAGGAAAAGTTGTTCGGGCGACGACGAAGTTTGAAGAAAGCTCTGTGAACAAAAGATTAGCTTCAGCTAATCTCCGTAGCTGTTGGGTGGGGCGGCTCGCTCTTTCCGCCGACAAACTGCACAGTTACTGCCATAACCACTGTGATGTGTCCCGTTGTCCTTCCTTTGGGAAACTGCTTCACTCAGCGTTGTGCTGGGAACTCTCTGGAAACAGTTCGCTCTGTAGATCTCGGAGAGAAAGTCAAGCAAAGCTTGTACCTTAATTACCCCTTTTCATGAATGAATATCGGATACACAAACAGCAATTCATTCGTACTTAACTTAGTGCATATGACACTCTTGGATCCAGTTTGAAGAGTTTATGTCTGTTTATGTCTGCAAAGAGACATTAGCGCGCTCTCTCTCCTATCCAGATCCTCTCGAGATCAGTGTGGAAGAGATCGATTCATTGGAAAAGGGGTGTTTTTATACAGCCAGTGACATCACGGGGAGTCTGCTGTTATCCCCTTTCCTGGCTGGCTGGAAGTAGGTTAATGCGATTTATTTTGAAAGTTCCAGAAAAGTTTGTACCGGACCTTCATGTTGTAATCCATGGCTGTGGGTCCCAACAAAATAAAGTTTCCTTTGAGCAATGCTGACTCACTCTTACAAAAAAATTACAAATAGATTAACTTCTACTTTTCCAGCTTAGAATATGTATGAGGAGTTTGTTCAAGGTTTGGTGTCTTAAAGTTATTTTATTAAGAATAAAGGCAAGAAGTTTTTGACTTGCAATGTGCATTCAGGCATACCAAACAATAACTTTTAGATTATTATTTCTCTAAATACCTCCTAAGAATAAAGAGAAGCCTTTAACTTGATATGGCAAACATCCAGACAACTCATCTGTGGAGCCTGTTTTATTTTTTTTATGGAATAAAAATCAATTGCGAAGCTTTTCTGCTATTTAAATGATAATTTACTAAGCTGACTGGGTTATGTGCATGCATGTGTTGCACAGTTCTGATGCAAAAAAGGTGGTGGCAAGGGGGGTCTGCTGTAGATTTGAGCTGGGGTGCTCAAGAAAAAAAGTTGGCAATTCTTGGATACAACTGAATGGCTCATGTATATAAGATTACTCAAATCAGGGAATTTTTCAGTGCAGCTCACATGCATTTGGCTTATTTCTGTTAAAAAGGTCATTTTTTCAATCCATTATACGTCTACAGCCATAGACATTTACAGGCTTCAAGACAGTGCAGTTACAGATTCAGCGTTATCCACCTTAAATGGCCGAACCTTTTGTTATGATGGGCTTGACTCTTTTTGTTTTAGAGAAGTGTGTTTGAAAATTACTTTTCCAGTTTGAAAGTCAACAAAAAAGCTGTTTGTGATTTATTTATGCTTAATACTTGCAAGATTGTTGTGTTTTTTGATATGATATATGCACAATAGGACGTAGATGGTTGATCATTTCAGGAAAAAAATATGGTTGTGTATAAATAAGTCACTCCATCAGACTGTTGGTTATGTTGGTATAATATGGGTGCCCAGTTTTAGCCCAGTCCTCAGCCAGGGTGAGGCTCTGCCCTCCCCTGTGTCTTTACGCGTCTCCTTGCCCGAACGAGACGGCAGCGTGACAGATCACCTGCATAGGAGGCCTGCTGCGTTCTTACCCGGCGGTCCGGCCCCCTCTCATTAATGCCCAGGCTGGTGCGGGGGCTGCATGGCAGCACATGACAAATAACGCTACCACTCAGCCATCACTTGTGCTGACAGAAATGCAGCCCACCGCACTATTTTGCCCTCTTAAGCTCCACTCCACAACCTGCTCTTGTCCTTCAACCCCCACCCCCATATATTTGGTCTCCACCTGCACCTGTCTGCGCTGCTCCACCAAACTTTTACTTGTTGACGGGGCTTTTGATGTTGCTGCAAGGTGAGCTTAACACAGAAATCCATGCAGGTTGATGTACAGGTTCCACTCACCAGCTGCCTTTGCATCAACACCGTTTTCAGTTTGTCTTTATGGAGACATATTCGTTTTTAGCAGCCCCTTCTGTGAGGTGCTTCTTGACTCGTGTGCAAGCCCTCTTGTCAGAAGGTCTAATTGTCTTGCATTTGTGAAAAGACGCATGTCAGTCTGTGTGTGTGTGTGTGTGTGTTCATGAGAGGGAGCAGCAGAGAGAGAGAAACACAAAGGCTAATCATTAAAGAGCCATTCAACCCTGTTCATTTAAGTGTGGGAATCAGCAGGCCCATTACTGTCAATGTGTAATTAGCTGATTAATAAACAGGGGGAGCAGCAGTGCTCCAGGAAGGCCTGTAATGATTGTTTTTAGAGAGCATCTCATAAGAGCTTATTAAGATGGTGAGGTGGTTCCATTCAACTTCCCATTATCACCCACAGTAAATGTATATACTGTAATTCTCCCTCTGACAGAGAACCGTTGCATTCTAATTTCTTTACTGACCTTGGTGTAAAACTGCTTGATTGCAAGTGTTGCTACTGCTTCACTAAAGCAACAAATTACTCAGTCTTCTTTTACTTTATCATTTAAATACATAAATACGCTTTAAATATTATATACAGTGCCCTGCAAAAGTATTCATATCCCTTGATGTTATTCATATTTTTCAAGTCTTGCCACATATTCTCAATTAGATTTAGGTCTGGGCTTTGACTGGACCATTCTAACACATGAAAATTTTTATTCTAAGCCATTCCATTGTAACTCTGGCTGTGTGTTTAGGGTTGTTGTTCTGCAGGAAGGTGAAATTATTTGCAGCTGTTTTCGCTCCATGTTCTCATCAACTATGACCAGCTTCCTTGTCCCTGCTGCAGAAATGCATTCCCACAGCATGATACTTCCACTACCATGTGCAGTGTTAGTTTTCTGCAATACATAGTGTACTAACATAAAGAGATATTTTTGTAAAGTACTGTGCAAAAGTCTGTTGCCTTGCAGCAAGAAGGTCCTGGGTTCAATTCCCGACCGGGGGTCTTTCTGCATGGAGTTTGCATGTTCTCCCCGTGCATGCGTGGGTTCTCACCGGGTACTCCTTCCTCCCACAGTCCAAAGACATGCCTGTTAGGTTAATTGGTAACTCTAAATTGCCCTTAGGTGTATGAATGAGTGTGTGCGTGGTTGTTTGTGTGTTGCCCTGCGATGGACTGGCGACCTGTCCAGGGTGTACCCTGCCTCTCGCCCATAGACTGCTGGAGATAGGCACCAGCTCCCCCGCGACTCACTATGGAATAAGCGGTAGAAAATGACTAACTGACTGACTGTGCAAAAGTCTTGAGTAATGATTCACTTTTCTATTCAGGGTGCTAGACTTTCTAGTATTTTTTTTAAAGTAATTTAAGCAATATTTCTTTGGGGGTTTTTAGTGTTGTCTATGGACATTTGTGGGTATTTTTTGTTTTTTTCAGCCCTGTATTCTTTTTTGTTAGGCTACATAACTCTAAAGTATGAATAATTTAGGCTAAAAACTCAAATAATGATAATAAAATATTATGTCTACACAAACAACGGAGAACACGACAAATAGATGACACTAAATGTGATCGTGAATACACTTTGCTACTAGGGGCCTGTTACATAGACACAGTTTGCTCCATTTCCTTTCTTTTTATCTATGAAAGATACAAAACATAATACGGCTTCAGACATTAAACTGCTTTTTTTTTTAAAAAAAGGAGATGATTGCTAAAAAGCTACAAGATAAAAATCAGATGATCATATAATGTCTTGACACGGGACTCTTTGAGTTCATCAAAGTGGACGAAGTGGGTGCAGAGCAAGAAAGACGTCCCTGCTCCAAAATCGACTTCTCTAAGCATGACTGAAATTTGGACAAACATGGACAAAGTTTGGTCAGATGAGACAAAGATTAAGCTGTTTGGCCACAATGACAAGAAGTATATTTATCGAGATGCTACCAGTGTATTATATTCCAGTTATATTCACTAGATAGTTTTTCAGGCCTGACACTTCTTCATTTGTCCTCGACTCTTTTTAAGCACACTTTCCACAATATGTTGTTATAGTCTGGTACAAGGCTAGCATAATCCTGGAGAACATCTAGAATACAGGCCACTTCTTCAGAAAAAGGTCAGGATCATGTGAAGCAAAGTAAAAGAAATTAGGATTTCTTGAACACATCAAATGCCTCAGAAACCAATTTTGTGTACAAAACAAGAGTTTTGTTATGAGCAAACTTAAATTTGAAGGGTTGCATTATATGCAAAACAAAAATCTTAACTGAATCCAAACCAAGTACCTCTGCCAAAAATGATTTAAACAGGATGTGACCGGAAGTAGAAATATTATACAGATCCCCCTAAACAAGTTGAACAAAGCAGTGTGAAGTTGTGGTAAGGATTGTACCTTTTATGTAAAAGGTATAAAGATTAGATATAATAGATTAGTAATCACCTGCTTTCATGTGCTTTCTTTTACTTCAATTAGAGTTCTTTAGCATTTAATGTTGCCATTTTAAAGCTTTACCTTTCCAGTTTGCTTTAAATGCTAATTTCCACATGTAATATCATTGATATTTTATTAGAAATGTTGCCACTTAAGTTTTAATTCATAAATTCATTCATTCATTTTCTATACCGCTTATTCCATAGTGGGTTGCGGGGGAGCTGGTGCCTATCTCCAGCAGTCTACGGGCGAGAGGACAGGTCACCAGTCCATCGCAGGGCAACACAGAGACATAAAGGACAAGCAACCATGCACACATCCATTCACACATAAGGGCAATTTAAAGAGAGATAATTTACACAACAATCATGTTTTTGGATTGTGGGAGGAAGCTGGAGTACCTGGTGAGAACCCACGCATGCACGGGAGAACATGCAAACTCCATGCAGAAAGACCCCCAGCCGGGAGTCAAACCCAGGACCTTCTTGCTTGCAAGGCAACAGTGCTACCAACTGCAGCTGCGTGCAGCCCTTTATTCATAAATTTTATCCTGAAATAAAATTAGGTAAATTTGTCAGTAATAGCTGATCATTATTCAAAAAACATAATAGGTATGGTAAAAAGAAAGCACCCCTGGTTTAGATTTTAAAATAGGGCTGCATGATATCAGGAAAACAGGAAACTGTGAGTGTTGGAATGATATCAGTTTTGACTGACTTGCCTTTTCTGACTCATCTTACTTCACAATGCCTCAATCACTCTTCTTGAGCTTTAGCATCTCAGCTGCTAAAAAACAACATCAGGTGTGGACAACAAGCCACATTATTTACAAACAGAATCTGCACAAAGAGCATTTGAAATGAAATATTGCATCCAAGCAATCCTTTGTGATTGCAATATTGCTCACATTGATATTGCAGTGATTATATATTGCAATTCAATATATATACAGGTCTATTTTAAAATGATTTAAATCTAACTTTGTGTACTAAACAACACACATTTCAACAGTATTTGTTAAAATAAAGTGGAAAAGCTTGTGAAAAATGATGCCCACCCCGAAACCCTACATACATATAAATTTCATAAAAAACCTTTTATTTAAAGGGGGGATTACTGTCTTTTTACCGTGACTGCATTGTCTCGCTGTCTCTGACCTTCACGTTGGAGTTTTGTTGGTATGTGGTGCACCTCGCACATGCTAATGCACTCAAACTAATGTTCCCTGTCGTTTCTTTGTATCTGTCAAATATGAAAACTCCTGAATTTTGATCAAGCCCTTTGACTATGTTTAACCCGAAGTGTTTGGGTTGGAGCTCACCAGCGGTTAGTCATCCTTCCCTCAAGAAATATTAATCAATTATCTTGCCCGTCGGATCAGTTTGGGGAAGAAGTCATCTGGAAAGAGGCACAAAGGGATATAAGGGGAAAGAACTAAAGCACATGCCAGTGAAATGTAATGCCTAATCTTTTGAGACAGCCCACAGCCACAATGTCACTTCTAGTTGCCTTGTCCTCTGCTGTGGGGCTGCCTGGAAAATGTGTTGTGTGACTGCCACTAACTTTTTGGGGTGGCGACCTGTAAAGATTTATTTATCCAAACTGAAGTAGAAGCTGTAGGAAATCAGGTTATGGGGTGCAATTGTTCCTTTGTTCTTCTGTCTTCAGTGAAAATACGCTCTGCTCTTTTTCAAATGTTTCCAAACCATAGAGGATCTGTAAAAGGGAAAGGGTCAGTGAAATACGTAGTGTGATGATTGGAGTTAAAAACATACATGCTACATAACTGGTTAAGCTTAAAAGGCTGACAAAATTGGCCTTTTAATATCCGTGTCCATGAGTCATATGGTGCCAAATTGGATTTGGCTCACATGACCAAAATCTCATTAATTTTTAACTTATTAGAAGAGAATTGCTTAGTTTTGTTTTAACACATCCAAAGCAGTGATCCATGAGTTCTGAACTTCATTTTAATTCAAGTAGCTTCAAGCAGGACAAAAGGGGGATTTTACAGGTACATCTCAGAAACTTATTAAGTCATCTAAATGTTAATTTATTTCAGTGACTCAAGTCAAAAAGTAAAACTCACCTTTTATCAATATTCACTTCACACGGGGTTAAATTTTCCAAGCTTTTAGTTCTGTTAATTTAGGTGTTTTATGGCTTTCAGCAAATAAATACACAGAAAATATAGAAAATAATAATCTTACAGACGACTAATAAATATGATTCCTAACACAAAAATGTTATGTTATTGCCTACACAATCATGAGGAAGATTGCTGACTCGACAGTTATCCAGCACAAGGAGAGTAAGACACAAACAATGATTGCTAAGATCTAGAGCTCTGTTATGAGCATATTAATAGAAAGTTGAGTGGAAGAAAAAGTATGGTGGTCAGAGGTGGACAAGTTACATGGATAAAGAAAGCCCAGTGAAGCAAACCTGTTCTAGAGTTTGAGGGAGATCCCCAAGGTGTGGACTATGGCTGGAGTTAGTGCTTCAAGAGCCACTGCAGACAGACATATCCAGGGCATGGGCTACAACTGTCGCATCTCTTGTATTAAGCCACTCCTGAACCAGAGATGACGTACGATGCTTCTTACTCTGGCTAAGGAGAAGAAGGACTGGTTAAACTAGACTGGACTGGAATCTTTTTAGATGAAAGTAAAATTTGCATTTTATTTAGAAATTAAGGTGCCAGAAGCTGAAGAAGAGTGAACAGGCACAGGATTCACATTTCCACAGTCAGTGATTTAGGGTGTCCACTGTGTTTTCTGAAGTCCACAGTCCATGCAGCCATCTACCTGGATATTTTAGAGTACTTCATGCTGCCTTCTGCTAAAGAACTTTATGGAGATGCTGATTAAATTTTCCCTCAGGGCTTGGCACCTCCCCACACTGCCAAAGGTACCAAAAGCTGGTTCAATGACCATGGTGTTACTAACACCAGACCTAGCCTGACATTTCTGTATTAAAAATCTTTTTTTCATGATTTTATGTAATATTTGACATTTCTGAGCCACACGATTTTGAGTTTTAATTAACTGTAAGCCAAAATCTTCAAAATAAACAGATACACTGTGTATTATGAATCTATATAAAATACAAGTTTCATTTTTGGAATTGAATTTTTGAAATAAATAAATTTTTCGCTGATATTTTAATTCATTGATGCACCCATATTTGAACATTTTTTAATTTCTTCCCTATGTTTTTTCAGAATTTGAAATATTCTCTGTCTTTTTTTTACAGCTAACAATCCATTTAACAAAGATCCCCAGAGAGAAGAGGCAAGAGGAGGTGCCTGCAGTAACACACCAAACCTAGAAGCAGTTGGTTCGTCTGAGAGTTCGTCTTTACTCCAGGGCAACCATGAGGACACTTAAAAGATGCTTGACAGACACATCTAATTCCTAAAGCAATTGTGCCTGAAAACGAAATGGCTAGAACACCTTTCTACACCACAAACTTTACAACAAAGAAAGAAAAATATGAGGCACATCATTAGTCTTCAAATCAGCATGTTTCTGCTCGATCCAGCCAATCCAGGTAGTATATTTAGCATGACAAATGTTAATGCAATCAAGCCTTGTTAAGCCGTCCTCCTTCTCCCTAAGGAAGAAGGCAGCTTCAAGTGGCTCCTCGTTCAACTTGAGACTTTCCACTGCATAATCCAGTAATTATGTCCACTGCTGTAGCACAGCACTTGTCAGCAGGAACCTTAGAAAGTGTGGTCAGCTGAGGCTCGTTGGCCAGGGGACGTCTGTTCCACGTAAGGCAACCAACAGTGGCTGTAAAGCAGCTAGCTCTGAGGCAGATGAACATCACAATGTTTAGCTGCCACATGCTGTTGCAGGGTTAAGAGAGGCGGCCACCGCTGGCGAGCCACACAAAGTACAGGCCTCCTATTAGCATGGATTTGAAAAGCTACAGTTGCTACAAAGGTGCTCATTAGCACAACACAGAGGGAGCGTAGTCATAGTCCTTGGAGGCCCACGTCTGTTCTCTTCAGGTTACCTTCTATATTCAAATTTTCCCAAACAGATTTAAAGTTCAAGGCTTGCTGCAAGTCATTTGAAAAAGCTGTTTTTCAGCAACGCTGGCTAAGTTTCTTTTGGATCTCTGGGCGCCAGCAAGGAGTTGGAGGAACAACAGGAATCGGGAAAGGAGGGTTATACATAGGATTTTCACAACCCCTTTGGGTATATTGTTTCCAAGTGTTCTCACCATTAGATGCATTAAAAGATCAATGACAGCATACAGGCTGAGTGAAATGACAGCATACAAGTGAAAGCAAAGCAAATAAATAGGTGTATACAATGATGTGCACAGGAATACCTGTCGGTACCCCTGGTAAAGATGTGCAAAAATCATTCAAATAAATTCAACATTTAGTGTAGTAGCATTCATCTCACATGGAAAATGTAGAACATTCTAACCTGTAATTTAAAGACATGTATTCAGTGATGAAAAAACTCATGTTAATACTTTGTACAGCCTGCTTTTTTTTGCCAGTGGGACTATTCGTAGTCTCCTAAAACATTTTACAAGGTTGGATCATACAGTAAGAAGGATCTTTGAGAATTTCTCTGCAGTCTTCCCAGATGGTTCAGTGTCCCGAGCCACTGTTATGCCTCCTTTTGCTGCTTTTCCACATGTTTCTGCTTCTTTTTCAAATCAAACCCCACTTGAGCGTTTGTCACCAAAAATCTTGCCATTATCTGACTGAAGCACATGATTCCAGTTAAAGTAGGTAGAGAGGTAGCACATACAGAAAAGGCCCTTTCGTTGGCATCACTCCCAAATAACCAGTCGGTATGTAAATCGTCTCTTATGCTTGTTATGGAGACTTGGTGACAGCAACTATTAAGGCTTGCTTGAGAAGTGTTCCAACAGGTCCACGATGAAATGCACAAGCTTCCCAAGATATTTGTAAGATAAACAGGCCAACACCATCAAGTAGTCTTCCTTAACTTCACAACAGACCCACCTGGAGTGTTTGTTGTAGAAAAGTTCAATCTTTGCTAACATGGTTCCAGTTCCAGTTAAAATCCCAGCAGAGTTTAACCAACTTTACTTTATTACTTTTGTTATGGTAGGACATGAAAGGCCTTTGCCTGGAATCACTCCCAAGCACATGGTTTTTAGGGAGACTTGGTGACCTCAAGATGTCATTTTACGCTGCAGTTATCATCCTGCTCACTGTGCAAAGAGGCAAAATAGTCGTATGTCCCTGTCCAGCATACTAGCCAGTGGTTAAAAGAAACAGGCCTCTGTGAAATGCCATATTTGTACCACAGATAAACATAAAGTCACACATCACTGATTAGGAGTTCCTGAAACTCTTTAAAAAATGTAAGTATAAATGAAAATGAATGCTGCAGTTACATTTCTTCTAAAGGGATTTTTAGAAGTACCTATAATAGTGCCACCGGTGATTTTGTTGAACACAATCCTAACCTGGGATTTGGTTAACCTTTGTTTATTTGTACTCAAAAGCTGGAATTTTCTAATTTTTCAGTGAGAT